GTTGCATCCGATAGTATGTTTGAAAATTGAAAAACTCACAATTTTTTGGTGCCCTACGGCGCAATAAACGCGATATTGCGTCGTAAGTGCCGCATTCGGATAACTTCTCACAAAACTACTCTTTTTGACTCCCGTTGTTATATTTGGACTCAGCACTAATTGCTCTATCCGACAATATATTCAAAATCTAAAAAAGTCAATTTTTTTATGTGCAGCAGGGCACAATAAACGCGTTTTTGCGTCGCAAGTGCCGCATTGTTATAAGTGCCTTCAAAATTACCCTACAAGAATCTTGTTTGCATAGATGTCATCAGTGTCCCTTGAGCTATCCGCCAATATGTTTGAAAGTTAAAACATCTCAATTTTTAGTGAATTACACGTTTTAAATCCCATTGGTCCCCTTTTCTGCACTGATAAGCTGATAACGATCTTCAAAAAAAATTGTACACAATTTTGAACAGCATATTTGAAATCAGCTCTTTCCAAGCTATCCAATGATGTGCTTAAAAACCTAAAAATCCAAGATTTTTTGTTTCCGTTTTTATTGGTCCCTCATAGTGGTATAATTACCTAGGTTGGCTCCGGCCCCTGGCTGCCGTGACCTATCAGTATCGATTTTTGTTATCATAGTACGTATGGTGATAGAATACAGTACTAAGACTACACATTGACTTTCACATGGCAAAAGTCCCCTACATAGTTGAATTTGAATTCAAAATCATGGAATTAAATTTTTGAGTTGAAATTTAAAAATTAACCGAACTTTTTTTGAAGTTCAGAGACTGCAAAACTCAGTAAGCATCATGTCTCGATTCACTACAAAAAGATGTGAATTTCCTTCAATTTCCCTACATAATGAAATGATTGAAAAGATGAACTTCAATTTTGAAATGCGTTGAAAGTTAGAGAACACCCTAAAGGATTTGCAAATTCCAAGCAGTAAGACACAACGATGTCCGATTTCAGCTTTGAGCTAGAGTTTGTCAATCGCCTGATAATCTAAAATTTCAAACCAATAATTTCTCCTATCTACTGTGAGGTCATTATTGCAATAATCATGTGTTAATGAATTTGATCACATTTTCAGCTAATGTTAGATTGAAACCGATCATGTGTGTAAGATTTCAAGAACAAAAATAATAAATTTTTCTGCCTAGTCCAATTCTTGCCGAATTTGATCATGTTTTAGCTATTATGAGATTTTTATAGTAAGATCATATCTTTGGTTCTAGAGAAGCCTAGCACAATTCAATAACTTTCGCGACTATTGAAAATCACAGTTTTTTTTTCAAATTAATCGATATATGGATGTCATTCGTCAGATAACTTCGCACCTTTGGATATGCCTGTGTCAGCTGGGTGCAGGTGCACCCTACTTAAATGAATAGAATAAGCACCATTACAGTGCATGTTTTCCTAACCAGGAGCATTTCTGCTGAAACAGGAAGTAGATTCACATTCTTCACGTTTCACACTGAAACGTGCAGAAATCACGCACGCGATTTTCAAAATTTCTTGCAAATTCTAGAAACTATCGAAACAATAAGCAAAAAATTTCAGAATTTTGAGAACTCTCAAAAATCGCAAGAATGTGTATGACTTCACTGGAGATATTGCTATGATTTACAATCAATCAATGTAATTGAGAGTTTTTACGAGTAGGTGAACCACACAGCTGAGAATGGAAAGTCATCATTTAGATGTATTTTATTTCTCCTAAATTTTCCGGTTTCAGTACCTTTAATTTGGTTTTATGATTAAACAAAATATAAACATGATTTTTAAAATTTTTAAAAATCAATTTTGAATGTTTGTGTGCAAATCTCGTATTTGGAATCAAACAGGTGGATAGTTTCAATTTACGTTATTTTAACCAGTCGAAGTGGCTTAGATGCATCCGCACCCCGCTGACACAGGAATGTCCAAATGTGCGAAGTGGTCCAACGAAAGCCAAACAGGTACCGATTGACTTCGAAAAAAACTGCGATTTTCAACAGTTGTAAAAAATGATGAAATGAGCTAGACTTCTCACAATCAGAAATCAAAAAATATAATTTTTCGTATTAATATTTCAGAATAGCTAAAAGGCATGATTAAAGCTGGCAGAAAGTGGAGCCAGGCTAGCTATTAGTATGTATTATCATGTGATCATGGTTACACCATATTGAATACTAGCTGCGGTTCCCGGTCCCGCCCGGGCCGAGAGTCCAGAATGGCCCAGCATAGGATGTGCTTCAAGATGTATACTTACCAGTCCTCCACTTTCTTCAGTTCATATCTTAGTTCATATTCTCTCCTGCTTCACCCATGTCAGTTTTAGCGCTCGTGTAGTATCCGTGGTGAATAGTCTTCTTTCTTGACCGGCTCGCTTCATGACACCGCATGCTCCTCACCGCAAAATGTGAATGATCTCTACCACCCCTTACTACTCACTTGGAAAAATGAATGGTACAGCCTTCATTTTCCTAGATTTTAGTAAACAAAATCAATAAATCGATAGAAGGACCCAGCGAATTGTCGAAAAAAGTAGCCTATCTTTTGCGCCGTGGCTTGTTTATAGGGAAACAAAATTCAGCCTCTTTGGTTCACATACAAAGGAGTCTATAAGCCACAAACATCCTAACAAACACGGTACAGTGTTTGAGTTTTATATATATATAGATTTCATCTACGTGGGAATTGATTTTGTTGAACTTTGAAATTGAACTGTTAATGTGTCAAAAGTTCGAAATTAGGAAGGATTCACTTAGGAGAATCAAAAATTTTTTGAGTATTAATTGAGGTTGCTTGTTACCAAATGTTTCCAAAATCCACACTTGCAGAACTACGTAATCGTTCTGGTGAAAATCGATAAAGTGTGAGGTCATGAGCACATAGCTGTAATCTTAGCCACACTTATTAAGGACTAATGAATAGTCGTTTTTGTTACCGATTTCTGCCAAAGTTATATCTTTGAGGCTGAAGCACAAAATTTGAAATAAACCTGTTAAACTTTAAAAAATTTGCCCTCGTTAGTCAGCTACAGCTAGCAGAGTGAGCTCCAGTAGAGAAATATTTTTGAACATGTCTGCATAGAAGAGTGACGAAATAATTTTAATATTCCATGACGGCCACTGATTTCAGCACTATATAGACGGCACATGGTCAGCTGCTATGCGCAATGTTATCAAATAATTAGCTGGACTGCCAAAATTTCGTTCACATTCAAACGAAAAACCGGAAGACAATCATCAACAGCTGCACACATTTTATATGCTTTGAATGAACATTGTACGTTATCAGGCTCTGAAGTCAAATCATGTTTTGAAAATTCGGAATTCAAATTGCATTGTGCTATTTGAAGGGAATTCACAGCTTTTTGTAGTGAATCGAGACAAGATTCTTACTGAGTTTTGCAGTCTCTGAACTTCAAAAAAAGTTCGGGTAATTTTTAAATTTCAATAAATTTCAAAAATTTAATTTCATGATTTTGAATTCAAATTCAACTGTGTAGGGGACTTTTGCCATGTGAAAGTCAATGTGTAGTCTTAGTACTGTATTCTATCACCATACGTACTATTATAGCAAAAATCGATACTGATAGGTCACGGCAGCCAGGGGCCGGAGCCAATCTAGGTAATTATACCACTATGAGGGACCAATAAAAACGGAAACAAAAAATTTTGGATTTTTAGGTTTTTAAGCACATCATTGGATAGCTTGGAAAGAGCTGATTTCAAATATGCTGTTCAAAATTGTGTACAATTTTTTTGAAGATCGTTATCAGCTTATCAGTGCAGAAAAAGGGACCAATGGGATTTAAAACGTGTAATTCACTAAAAATTGAGATGTTTTAACTTTCAAACATATTGGCGGATAGCTCAAGGGACACTGATGACATCTATGCAAACAAGATTCTTGTAGGGTAATTTTGAAGGCACTTATAACAATGCGGCACTTGCGACGCAAAAACGCGTTTATTGTGCCCTGCGGCACATGAAAAAATTGACTTTTTTAGATTTTGAATATATTGTCGGATAGAGCAATTAGTGCTGAGTCCAAATATAACAACGGGAGTCAAAAAGAGTAGTTTTGTGAGAAGTTATTCGAATGCGGCACTTACGACGCAATATCGCGTTTATTGCGCCGTAGGACACCAAAAAATTGTGAATTTTTCAATTTTCAAACATACTATCGGATGCATCAGACAGCGCTTATCTCAAATATTTTAACCAGAGCTCGATAGGGGTAACCTGAAGAAAGTTATAACAATGCGGCACTTCCGGCGCTTTATTGCGTTTAAAACGCAGCTTTGAAAAGCGGCACTGCCAGTGCTGTACATGCACATAATTTGTTAAAAATTTGTTTTTGACGGCTGAAAAACACTCTTTTTCATGGAAAGGTCCAAAAAAAAAACAGCGCTATGAAAGAATCTGGCCTTCTGTTCAGTTCAGAATCACTGCATTGCGCTTATTTTTGACAAAAAAATTTTCAAGCACTAATTAATCAGCTTGAGTCTTCTGTTTTGCTTGATTTACTCTGAAAATATGCTTTACTGTCGCTAACAAAAATTTGCCTCGATACGCAATAACAACTTGTTTGAGCTATCGAGAATCAGCTGCCGATATAAAGATTGAAAATCTCCAAAAAATCTCTAAAGAGTTTCAATTTCTTTCCGAAAAAAAAAACAATCTCCATAGAAGCAGACATAACGCTAGCCACCAGTGGCGCCAAGGATGCTCCCGCTCCAAGAATGGGTCGCGAAACTTTCAAAGGTTATACATGAGTTATGTTCAAGCGACTTCTTTATACTTGTAAACGATTAAAATAATTCTCAAATCAAGAAGAAAAATCAAATTAGCCTTGTAAAAATTAAAAAGCATCCCAAAAATTTTTTCGAGGACCTTCTCTTGAAGAATTTTTTCGCTTCCCCCCCCCCTCCCCTGAACGGAATTTCTGGGCCTGCAACTATTAGCCACGTACACGTACTTTTATATGGGGTTACAGCCAAAGCTTTTCAGAGAAATGCACTATGCGAAAGCTGCTTCCGTTGAGGACGCAAAGCAAAAAACTGCAAGGACAAAAACAGTGCAAAATCCCGTTTTATGGTCGTCAATCGACCCTACAGCCAGGCAATACCAGTTCCTCAGCAATGAGTTCGAAAGGGGTATGCTTCCAGTTGGATGCATAGCTTATCAATCGATCGCAGCAATTCTCAGGCTTCCAATTTCGAGGATGTTTTATTTTTCGAGGAAGAGTCATACTTTATGGAGAGGATGATACTAACATTATGTGAGTCACAACATATCGTTTTTGATCCTGCCCTCAGGCGACCAACTTCATTTCAACACCATCGAGAAAACGCAATAATATTCTCTATTCGTTTGCACGTAGATGTTGAAGATTTAAGTGATCCTTACCATTAGGTTCAAAGTCAGGTGCGTGCCAAGGTGGTCAAGTAAAACAGTTATGCGAAGTCATAACAGATTCTGAAACTTCCACCTCTTGAGTATTTACCGCACCTGACTACCGTAAGCTCCTAAACATGCCAAAGGAGTGTAAATCTCGAAATCAGATTGCCATTTCATCAATGTGTACTCTATTTGTCATCCTGCTATGTTTGCTAGAGTCTCTAGACATCAAAAAAGCGTGACAAACGTTCAATTCCCAGACGAAGCTTGGGTTATCGCAGGCCCACGGAGCTAAAATTTTGTCTCAAATTTGGACGACACTCGCAAATAAGGTTTTGAAATAATTCTACAAGCTTTAACTTCCCTGCCAACACCAGCTTTTGAAAAGTCAGTCTTTCTAAAGTGACAGAGAAAAGGAGCAAAGGCAAAAGATTTCTGATTTTTTTCCTAGAAATTCAATGAATGTTACGAAAGTGGATAGCAGATTACAAGAGGCTACGCTCCGACAGTTCCGCGGCAGATCCATCTATATATCTGACTTCACCATTTAAACAACACCTATTTTTACCATGGACCAAATTACACGTATGCAATGGGAAAGAAGCATAATTCATGTGAAGATTACTACCATAGGTGCGAAATGGGAGCAGAGTCCCCTCCAGGTGAAGGGGTTTTGCTATTTCTGACCTAGAAAAGTGGGGCCTTGAGCTTTGATTGGGCCTTGAGGTGAACGCTGATACAAGCTTGCATGTCTACCGAAAGCGGGAGTGAGAAAAGGAAAATAAGTGGTAAGAGGTGTACTATAAAGATTTCCACAATACTGAGGCTTTGAAAGGTCCCAACAGAGACTTTTTTGACTTAGGAGAGCTATATGTTTTATCAATCGACATACCGCTCGAAAGCTTGGTGCATACAGAACCGACGTAGACCGTCTCGTTTTTCCAGCTCTCCTGTGAATTCAGATATAAAAAATCATATCTAGTTTCAGCATTAGCTGATTTTATGCAATCACTTGTCGCTCCATTTCTGAAAGAAAGAAGAAAGCTAGAAAAAAAGAGACGGCCTACGTCTACTGGCGAACTCTTGCTCTGTTAAAGGGTTAGACACTGGGCATTTTCAATCACCCTTTGCATAAAAATTTCTTCTTAAATACACACATGTTTTTAGCTAAAATGCCATGTATCTCTGAGTAGAGGGAAGCTGAAGAAAAACAGACGGTCCACGTCAAATCCTTTTTCGTGGGCTTTTTAATGGTATTTAAGTGGACGGGTGAAAAACTTGTGGCTTTTCAAAAATTAGGTGGAAATATTCAATACTAACTTGCTCCACCCCGCTCCGGCTTTATGCTATGGGTTTCTATGGAGCAAGACTTTTTTAAATTGAAAAAGTTTTGTGCACTAACAATTTGTATACCATTCGATAGCTAAGAACACGAGGAATCGACATAGACCGTCTCTTTTTTCCTAGCTTTTCTGTGAGGCGAGGTACGAACAGTTTTATCTAACTAAAATATCAGCCTATTTTGGGTAATTATCTTTTCAAAACAAGAAGGTCTTTTTCGAGCTTATATATGATTCGAAAGCTTGAAAAACGAGTAATCTAACTGCTCTTTTATTTGTTATTATTCTCTTTAGTAAACGAAGATATGGTAGATTCTTGTCAGTAAAAATCCATCACTAACTAGTTCAGATTTTGTACTCTTGTCCAACTCTTTCCTGCGACAGTGTGTAATCATTGATACAAAGTTAATTATTCAAAAAATCAGACACGTTTTTGATTTTTGATTATGTTTCGTTATCAGTACCACTTTGAGTGCGCAGAAGGTCTCAAGCATGCACTATTTCAGCAAAACGCTGTTGCTTCAATACTCTCTTGCAGTCTTGATGTCCAAAGAGAAGAGCAGCTGGCGTTTCCTTTCCAAACAAAAAGTGCCGTTGTAGCAGCTGTTCGATTTTGCCGTTATGCCTTGATTCTAGTCTCAACCTGAGGTGAAAGGAGTCAGCCAAATGCCGGCTCTAAAGTGAAGGGGGTCAGAGTAATTCTTCACCTACCGCATCTGTGATTACAACTATGTTGCAACGGATGTGAATTACAAACCAAGGAATTCCAAAGAAAAACAAGCTTCTGTCGTGAAATATCAGACAACAAGGGCTTTCAAAAAGATGTTAAGAAGAGGCGTCGCTTAGCCTGACCCTGTTTATAACTGTTTGAGAGGCAGTTTTTATAACAAGATGGTGAAATTTTCTTTCGACTGCGCCCTTCGAACTCGACAACTGGAATACCTACGGTTTGCGTCAATCGTGATGTTCCTGCTCTGAACGCATGCGTTTTGCCGAGTCATTGCGTGGCGTTTTCAAGCTTTTGGCTCAAGCTGTCGCTTCGACCTCATTGATCGGAGGTTGGTACGCAAGCTTCTCAGCTACGGATGCGTGGTCGCACGCAAAAGAGACACCTCAGTTATCTGTTGCAATCTTTTTTTTATGTAGGTGCCGCTGCAAATGCAGTACTATTGGGCTGTTACCAAAAATAATGTCTGTTTTTCTAGGCCTTTTCGAACGTATCTTCCAAACAACTTTTTTCCCTCACAATTTCTTCTTTGATCTAGATTCTGTATATCTTTAAACTTTCTTTGTGTACTTTTTAACAGTAGCAAAACCAAGCTTCCATCTTATTTTTAAGAATTTGACCAACATTCCGTACAGCTGCACTCAAAACCGAATTCTCGGTGCATTAGCTCTCTTGCCACATTTCGGGCGCAAATGAACGAATTCTGAAAACATAGCTACTGTGTGGGATGAGTATTGTTTACCTGGTGCATGTTTAAATAAATTTTTCGATTATACCTGGACTGAGAAATCGACGCCTCATACTCGCCGCATGACACTCTATGGATTTAAAATTTTTCGTGATTGAGGCAATCGCCAAAGATTCGCCCATTTTCGTGTGCTTGAACATCTTGCTTACAATTTTGCAGAAAAATTCAGCTATTCAATGCATGAAGAAAATCAAATTACCATAATTTGGCACTTACAAGCCTACAACAATTAAGCTCAAAAAAGTGAACATTTTTGGATTTTCATCCTTTCTTTTCGTAGAACTCCTTTGTTGAAGTCTATTATGTATAAGCGTATACTTTTGGCCTGCGGCTACAAAATAAGCTAATAGCCAGCTATAGGAACAGAACTTGAAGGGAGTTCTAAGTTCTTAAAGACGAGGTTTTCAAAAGAAAAACTTTCAGTTATTTGACCATGGTTTCCTTCCCGTTTGCGATATTAGTATGAGCAGGTGCGCGCTAAGTTAGCAAAGGCTTACTGCTTCTGAAATCCAAAAATATGAAGATTGGACAAAGTTATAGCTTTCCAAATTGAAGATTTGCAAAACGGACACTATTTTTGCAGCAACCTATTGATTGTGTGCTCGAACAACCTTTGTATTTAAGATTTTATGAGCTGAAAGTCACTCAAACTGCATTTGACGAAGAACGAGGTCTCGGCAATCTTCTGCTTCCCACCGTCAAAAAATTTGGTGAGTTATTTGATCTTTTCAAACTTTTCTATGCTTTAGCTCTATGCTACAATCATTGTTCAAGTGAGTATCTCTTTGTATTCTAGCAAACTTGAGCAGGAATATCTTTCCTCCTGCACATGTCCGCGTGCAAGTTACGAGCGATTCTTTTACTGCAAGAGAACTGAATGAGGTACATAAAGTGCAAATTGGATTGTACCCTCAAAGCGATGATAATCATATTATGCGAGGGGCTATTGAGATACCTTTGATAACACTGATGAGAGGACAGACACATGAGATAAAGTGAGTTTTTTTTTTGCATTTCCTGAATCTTTTCATGCGATTCATATATATAGCAGAAATGCAGAGATTCTAGGGAAGTGTTGGAGAATCTGAAAAAGATTGTCAAGTTTGAGAGATGAACGAACTTATACTAACAGGGTGTCTAAAAAGTTTCTGACTCAGTGCAAATACGATTTAGCTCGCCTTTCTGGACTGTGTTCGCTACACCAAACAACCATTAAAGGAAAAAACGAGAAGGTGCTAAAAAACCGGAAAACCGAAAACAACTTACCGTTTTCGTACTACTATCTGCCCCAAATCTATATTATCTGTAGAAAACAAACTTCTTTCCATGTCGCAAAAGGACTGCAAACGAGCGTGCACGTTTATGTTGAAATCTTTCTAGTCCAAGGATTTTCTGAAAGGTTTTGTTTGTAATATTTTTAGCACGACTTTTTCCATTATTGTGTGCATGTTACCAAATTTTGCATGTTTTTTTCAAAACTCACTTCAAAGACATGCAATTTTGCATGTCTTGGAAGAGAATTTTGATAAATTTCAAACTTAGATCTTTTAAGAAAAAAATTTTGAAATTAAATATTTCATTTTTTGAGCACGTTATTCCAAATGAACTCACCTTTGAAAAAACAAGAAAATGATTTACAATGTTCTTTGTAAGAATGGTTTCTTCTACAATACCACCCGTAATTTGTGAAAAAAAATGGCGGCGTTACTTAACTCACGCGGCGCCGCCGCAGTTAGGTGACAAACGCCGCGTCGCGCACCGCAGTACACCTCCCACTACTCCATGACTTACGTACGACCTATGAAAACACGTCCTCATGAATTTTCCCCAAAATGTAAAGATCGCAAATCTCGTCGAAATTCCACCGTGAGTGCTTGTACAACACGCTGATCAAAATCTTTCCACGTCCTTAATAGATCTTATTGTGTTAGATTTCGTAGTTTGAGTTCTAGCCACCGAAATAGCTTTATTCAACTGAGCAGCTGAAGCATATGCAAGTACCATATTCAATACAGTGGGAGTCTTTGGGTGAAGCGAACACAATATCCGCAATGCGAATGTCATACAAGCACTCACGGTGGAATTTCGACGAGATTTGCGATCTTTACATTTTGGGGAAAATTCATGAGGACGTGTTTTCATAGGCTCATAACTCGGCGATTTTTATAGAATGGGGCCTGAATCATGCAAAGCTTGATAAGCTGAGCACAATGCATTCTTCGGATTCAGAAAATATCCACTTCAAAGAAAGTTACGGCGAGTAGAATCGGGAAACGATTTTATGATTTTATGATTTTTGGAAACGATTTAGTGATTTTTCCAGAATTTACCAACGCTTTTTTCTCTTCTGAAAAGAAGTCTGCGGCAGCTTTTTAGCGCACTATAATGTACAAGAAGAGCGCTAACGAACGGTGCTTACTTGAACCTTTCATGTTGGATAGGCGCTGCGTTACATACTTGCAAAGGGACCTCCTCAGAACAATTTGAGAAAACTGGAAACAAGATATAACCTTTGATTCAACTGGCTTGACACCATTAGGGCGGGGGTTTGTGATCTAATTGAGGCCGCTCGCGTCCGCGACGCACCTGCGTCTCTCTCGCGCGAGTGCTCTCTGGTCATTACCTAGCCTTAATTAGGCCACGAAGCCCCGCCTTTGCCGATGCCAAGCCAGTTGAATCAAATGGTAAATGACATGACATATTTCGAAAGATTCGCCTTGACGAGCTGAACACAATGCTGCTTTCGGATTTAGAATATACTCATTCCGAAGGAAGTTATGGCGCTGCATAAGTTGCGATATTTCGGAATCGCAAAATTTCTGGAATTTCGCGAAATTCCCGTTCTGTGAGTGGTATTGTACATTGCACGGCACGCGCGGCATTCTGCGATATGCGCTTCTCATGCGATTTCCAACCATTTCCCTTTGTCTTCCTGCATTTTGGGACCGTCATACTTCGCCGAGAAAAGCCCAGTTTCACACATATTCATGCAGAATGAGCTCTTAAACTATACCTGCCCTATTTCTGCACTGCTCAACAGAATGTGTATGTAGCCTCTGGAATCAACACACTGAATGACCATTTACACTAAAATTCCAGGAAAAAAACTTATATCCCACAACCTAGGCACATCTGAATACTAGAAGACGCGCCTCGCCGAGCTGAGTTGAATGGTACTCTTATATGTAGAATTCATAAATTTTGGATCAAGATAAGGTCTTTTTTATGAAAAAGTTAGGCGTTGCGCGGCAAAGTTAGGCGGCAAATGCCGCTTTTCCGCCGACTTTTGTCGCGCGACGCGGCGTTTGTCACCTAACTGCGGCGGCGCCGCGTGAGTTAAATGCCGCCGCCATTTTTTTTCACAAATTACGGGTGGTATTGTATGTAATTAACATTTCAAGACAAGAGACGTGAAAAGCTGCATTTTGCATTCCGACCTGATAAGAGAATCAAGAAACCTATTATTTGTTGACCGATGGATAAGAAAAAGCAAGTAGGTTTTCTATCGGAAGTTGTCGAGGCTAAAGCTTTGCAAACTGCCAACAACCTGTGAGTGATTCTCATAAGCCATCTGAGGGTGCATTCATGCCGCGCCGGCACCCGTTGCTGGCAGCCGGCGGTCGCCACCATCAGCTAACCTCCACTGAGAACTTGTGTTATGGTGGGAGCGCAAAAGCATCAGGTCTTTACGACGCTATGTGCGTCCGCCTACGCTTTACATCTTCCACTCCCGCCTGATTCCGCTAATGTGCACTTCGACTCTTACACATCACATTTGAATCCATCGTTGCCATTATGCTAAGTTTCATGTGAAAGAACATACACCAATAACCTATTTAAAAGATAGAGGATGCATAGGTAACACGCAAGAAGAACTTTAATCGCACCTAAATTCGGAGGAGCAACCAAGTTATCATCTTTATAGACAAAACAGATTGCAATAGTGAATTGTGGGCACCGATAGCAAATCTTATCCAGAGCTGAGCAAGAGGTGTGTGCTGCCGGATACCCACCCCCCACGATCTGTCTACCCCCCCCCCCCTCCAGCCGAGGCATGACATAAAGGCTCTACCAACATGATTAGTAACATATTGTGATTTCTGTCGTGAGTGGTCTGAACAATGTAGACAAATCATTTGTGCATTGCCTTTTTTACACATGTTTGGATTGAACATCGCACGTCTTTTTCAATGTCTTCATTCTCAATATAATCTAATATATAAAGAATCGCAAGCGCAATTCAAAAATGTGCACATAGCGGGAAACCACGTGGCGGTCCCGTAGCGCGCGCATGCTGCTAGCACTTTAATTGCTGGTTCACTAGTAATAACGTGAACATTACGCAACATTTGCCAACTTTCACTGTGCGGGCAAGACCCCAAAAGCATCGAAGCTGGTCTTTGAAAATTCTTACATTGAGACAGCTACTCCTTTAGGAAAACTTCAAGAACACTTCGAACCTTGCCCAATTGACTGCGAAACTCACCTAAAGTTCATTCATAAAATTGTGACGACGGATTCGACTGCGGTCTTTGCACTCCCAGAAGCATAACACCCTCGTACAAGAAGGCATCATCTCAACGCTCAGCTCAGTGACGTCCAATGTCCAAGTACTATCACACCTAGGCAGAAACCATATGAGTAGGGATTGAAACCTAGAAAATGCAGATGCCGGGAATTCGCGCGTGTCGCGTGCGGTTGCGCCATCTCCACGATTTTTCGAATGCCCTATACTATTCTCTGCGTTACGGATGACATGTTCCACAATGCACTCTAACTGTTGTCGAGGCAACATCGTAAGAAGCAACATGTTCAAAACCTGCGGAAGTACTGGCAGGCCAAAATGCTGCAGAACGTGGCATGTTTCGGAAGTTCCGCAGCACTTTAAGGAAAAGTCTTGCGGAAGTTCCCATTTCAACCAGTCTGACATGAAAATTCTACGAAATCCCATTCTCAACGCTTTCAGTTCTGCAAAAGTAGAGCCGCTGCAAATTGCTTGTCTTGCGGAAGTTGCGGTGAATTATCTGAGTAGTTGATTTGATTTGCCAATGTCGACGACTAACACTAGCTAGAGTAGCAGCTGCGGATTGCCAACATTGCGCGGGACAACTGCATATATGTTAGATGCGGCTTTTTTGGCCGCATTTCGTGAATATTTCCATAACTTTTTTTTGAGAGAATCCTTGAGAGGATACGATCTGAAGAATAAAAATCTGCTTTTCGAGACGCATCTAGTAATGTTATTTCATCCCAGATCGCCACTGCAACTTGGGATCCTTTTCTAGTTACTGGAGTCTCTGTGTCTCGCTACTACACTATGGCCAAATTTAGGCACTAAACTTTTAGGATTTCCGGCTGAGCACGTTACTGCTCGCATAAATTCCGCTAGATGTGGTGATGTTAATGGCAGCTTTTCCTAGATACCGCCAAGATATTCAAGCTGTCGCATATAAGTGTCAGTATGAAGATAATGAATCGGTCACGATCTATGAAAGTGACTACACTCGAGAGAAAATTGGTAACTTTATACTGCTGGAAAAAGGAGAATGTCATCAAAATGATGTAAAATCCATTCGAGAAATCAGCAGTTTTGTGAAATCTTGTATTCTTTCAGAGTTTGGTAGTTCGTCGACTGCCCAACGTACGCATTTTCATTCTCGCATCAAGCCGTGTATGGATGAATCCATACAGATTCAGCAGGCACAGGTTGCAAAAAATAGTAGTAAAACTCATGGAAATTATTCCAGGCGTATGACCTATCCCAATGCAGTTCATACAATGTCGGTGCATCACATCCTTCGAGGATGGAAACGCTTTATTCCCTTACTTGTTGGTATGTTTTTCATCTGACCAACTTTTTTCCGAAAATTCAGTGTGGGCTTAGCGACACCTCTCTGAGTTCAATCTTTTATGCACATTCAGCTCCGCAAACGCATTTGTGGCAAAAGATATTCAACGGTTGGTCATCAAAACTCAGTGAGGAAATTGGATCTTCGAGCCAGCATGCGAATTTTGTGAAAAATGTTATAGAAACAATTTTTGCTCTTGTAAAATTTTAGTAAGACGTGCATTACAAAAACTGAAGCAGGTTAAAGTAGATGCTTACTGAAGGTTTTTTTACATTGAATTAACAAAAACAATCTCATCGACTTTGGCCTCGAACAGTAAAACACCTACATCTATGCCAATTCTTTCGGTTTTCAATGCCTATGTTCTTGCAAAAGTTAAATTTGATGAATGGACACTGAAAAAAGATCTGTATTCTTACGTTGTCTTCATGGATAGTATAAGCTATCTGGTAGCTTCTAAGCTGCAGAACTATCTTTTACAGAGCGCTAAAGTGCGCTAGGTCATAAAGGAGATTGAGATTATGTACGTGAGGTCTTCCCATTTTCTCTTTAGAACAGAATTTATATTTGCAGCAAATTTGGCCATCTTCACTGTGCTGATGTACATTGTGAGCTTAGCAATGAAGTATCATCGCAAAATGATGATGAAGCTGGGCGCTTACAGTTCTTCTCAAACGGCTAACACACTTTGATTGTGCATTTGTAATCGTGTGATTTTTTGTTTGTATTGTTGTTTATTCACTGTTAATTATTTGTAAAATAAACAACATCTTGAGAGAAAAAGCGATAATGTTCACATGTCTAAAATCAAAGAAATGATGTGGTCGGCTCTTTCTGCTGCCTCGATTTGGAGGGGGAGGTAGGGGCTGAGATTTTAGATATGTACATCTGCATAGCAAAGATATCTGTGCCTCTATGTCTCCGATTGGAAAATGCCATTGCTTTGCGCTTGCCCTTAGGGTGCGGTGCAAGTCTTTAGCATTTAGAATACTGTCTGGCTCCTCATGCCATGTGCGACAAGCGGGTAGAATCTTTTTAGAGGTTGGAGTTATTCTCAATTGTTTGCGCTTCAGTGCAGCATGCCCTTCCCAATGTTTTCCACACATCTCGACGTTCATAACGAAGTTAGTTCTTGGCCCTCACGCTTGCTTTAAGTTATCGCCTCCTCTGTCACTGAAGTTGAAGTGGCTGTAATGCTTTTGTTTTTATTGTGAGGACGTTTTATTATTCGGTAAGCTTTTTCTTGGATAAACTCAATAACTCATTGGATCACTTGAGGGCTTATCAAGGAGCTTCTCATTCAGCCAGTTCATTCTATCGACATCAGACCTTTATAAATACTGTTGCTGTATTTTTCCCTGGATAGAAAGGGAAAAAACGAAAATCTCTCTTTTTCTCAAGCAATCATGTGCCGTTCTTACATGAGTATCTATACAACAAGCCCTTGTCACTGTAAGTTTTTTTTTCATAAGCGATAGTCCAAAAATATTAGCACAAAAACCCAGAAGAAAAGAAGCAAAATTTGATGTTTTTCGAAAACCAGAGCTCGGGCTGAGTTTTTACAATAATTTATATTATACTTACAAAGCTTGTAGCATGGGGTCACTTATATAAGATAGGCCCAGCATTGCATTTAGAAAAAACAAAAATTGTTTTTTTTTCAGCTCACAACATGATTTAAAAGCAGCAACTGCACATATGAATGTTCAATTTTGAAAATATTAATGTGTGTTGTAGTCCTAGGAACTTCTGAACAAAGATCCGATTTTTTCCGGTTTTTTGGGTATTCAAAACTTTTTATGTTTTGCTTCCAAACTTCCCGTGGACCAAAGTTGGTGCGAAGCATGAACTCCTTCTTGTAAAGCTCGTTTTTCTTCAGCGAACAGTACCTTTCATGCATATTCGGAAACGCTTCCACGTGGCGTCATAGCAAGCAGATAAAAAGCACTATTTTTTTTTCTAACAACCCGGTATAAAATCCCTAATGCCGCTAAGGCCGCCCGAATGTATAGTGTCAGAAAATCTGTGTGCCACGAAATTCGGGCGAGTTACACGTGAATCGTTGACTGGTCAAAATTCTACCTAACAAGGAAATTTAAAAAAGCTCCATACCATTCGATGCAGCACAGAACGCTGACTTCAAATGTGCCTTCCTATTTGCTGAGCGCCTTTGTAGGCGAAGTTGTGAGCAGTTTTACTTGGAAAAATCGTACATGAAATTCGAAATTGAGCACATCATTCCCTTTTCAGCTCATTCCTAAGTTTGGGCCTATAAAGTCACCTAGCTATATTTTTTGCTCAAGCTTTGAGCTGAACGTGACTCTGTACGGCCTTTGCCCTTTACACGCACGAATTCTTAGCAGAATAATAGCATTCAATGGCGTAACTTCGTCTACAAAAGTGTTCAGCAGATAAGGAAGAAGGCAGCGTTTTATGCTGCAAGAGAAACTCTAAAGTTCCAGTGTTGCGGCCTTACGCATAAGATGGTAGTAAGTTTTTTCAGTTTCAGTAAAATTAAGACAGTGTTAAAGCTTGCGTAATTATGAGTAATTTGATAACTTTCCAAATCCTGAATGTCACAATTTTGTATTCGCAAAAGTAGGAGAAGGCTGACGCTGTAGGACTCCAATCCGGATCGACTTTTCGCTGCTCAAACCTGGATGAAAAAGCTTCAAGAACGGCAATTCATGAGTGCGGTCGTGATAATAATACTGGAACCGCTAGCTAGCCTTAAAAATCCTTAAAAATTTTGCTGCATAGTAATCGTCCATATATCACTGCGACAAACTTCGGCTGCGCATAAAAACGCAAGAAAAAAATTCGTCAAAGTAATATCTTGCCACCCCTTAAGCTGCACTTCAACAGCGAAACAAACTTAGGTACATGTTTAAACAACGTCCCTTTGCACTAGATAAGCTTTAAGTGAAATTTCTGGTCTCGAGCTGTGCTTTTATGGTGTGATAGGAGGATTTTTCCTGCAAAATAGCATTCCCACTTTTTGTTCTTCCAGTAGCTGAAGTCTGCCACGGTAATGTATAAATTACTACGATGTAAACAGATTCTTGTAGGAAAAATAAGAAAATTTATTACTATCGGGGCTAGCTAGCGGCACAATGGCCCCTTTGATTATCAAATTGGCTGCTTGAAGGAGGGGCTCCATGATCTAGGAGGCGTGCTCGCGTTCGAGACGCAGTCTGCGTCTCCCTCGCGAACATGCTCTCTGATCAGTTTCTAGCCTTAATTAGATCACGGGGCCCCGCCTTCCGGCCGCCGACCTGGTTGAAGCAAAGGGTACTTTTACAGCCACTGGATGAAAAGCGCGCGTCAAGTTTTCCTTTTTTGAAATCGTCTTAACTGCTTGTCGATTTCACTTTTGATGACTTGGTTTTCAAAGTTGAAATTGCGAAAGGTGTTCAAAGTAGGAATTTCCTTCTTGTGAGCGCGGCAAAAATTTCTTTCAAATGAAGGTGCGTGGCGTCAGCCACGCACTCCGAAAATTTTTTGAGGTGCTTCTCTTTTTGAGGTGAAAAATTTTTGCGGGTCCATAACCCCTAAAATCTTGAAAAGGGGGCATGGCGGCAACCATGCCCCGAAAGAAATTTTCACATGGCTAATTTGAATTTTTAAAAGATTTTAAAAATTATTTTGATTATTTGCAAGAATAAACAAGTCACTTGCACATTTTTATAACCCATGTAAACAAATCTCAAAAAATTTCGCGACTCTTTCTATTTTCATTCGCAACAAAAGCTCAGGCAGCCTATCAGTGGCGGACCGAAGGTAAGGAGGAGGGGGGGGGGAGCTTTTTGTTTTTTTCTCAACTTGTTTTTCAAAATTAGGGAACTTCTCTTTTTCAGTATGACTTTCAAGTGCAGCGTTCCCTGCTCACAATAAATGTCAAACTCCCACTCATTTGAAATCTATACCACTCAAAAAACATCATCGATATTCATTATGCCGAAAATCGCGTTGCCGTAAAACAGCGTGGTCTCAGAAAATTCGCTGTATAGACCTACAAATTCTCTGTCTCATTTGAAGTAGGCCCAACTCAAGCGGCTAGATCCCTCGCGGCGGAATCGCCTGGACTAGGCGAGCGTGGGAGAAGGCTTAGAGTAGAGTTCTAATCTTTAGTTGAAAAATGAGAAAATGGTCAGAGAACACTTTTGCGAACGCGGTGCAACCCCAGCGAGCCGTCATTCTAGAGGACTTCCTGACTTCAGGAATAAAACTCATCGTAACGAACGAGCCTCAGTACTTGATACGTTTTTTGAAAAATCCTGTATATATTACAGAGATTGAATTAGATATGATGAGTCGACCATTCAGCTGAAATGTGCACTCATAAACAATGGTAAATACCCGTTTTGAACGTTTCTTGTGCAGTCCATGTCTGTGATGCTAGCGAAGCGGTATAGAAGTTCCTGTTTAGGGCACAAAACAAGAAAAAAGTCCCAGCACAGGCAATGTCCTCGAGACAACAGTCAGACTAGCCCAAGAATTTTGAACCCAAACTGAATTTTCTTCTTCAATGATCCCTTTGCTCTTCTCCCAAAGATGGTTTTCACCCTGACCTCCGACCAGGGTCAGTGTGATGCGACTGTCGAAAGGGAGGGTCGTAAGGGGGCACCTGTGGTGGGGTGGGGGGGGGGGTCGTAAGAGAGGGTAGTCGGAATTAAAAAAGTGTAAAAAGTAGCAAATAAGTTTCTTGGTCGTAAACATCTTCCATGCTTCAAGAGAATAGAGGATTTTTTTCGGCAAAGAAGACGTCGTAGACGGAATTGAATTTGCTGACCACAAGTGTGAAAATTTTGAAAAACTTCCAGAGGCTCAAACACTATGAAGTCATGTATGTGTGACGAAGATTTTGGAAGTACCAATTAGCCTAGAAATTCTGCGTCCGCAGCATCACTGAAGTCACTAACACTTGAGAAAAGCGCTTAACTCTAACAACGATGACCATAGTTTTTGATTTTTTTCTGTTTTTCACGAGCCCATACAATTTTCCTGTATTTTGGATAAGGAGCGTCTCACCTGGGTTGCACCTGTTTCGTTGCGTCTCCAGTGATTTGCAGAATTTTAGCTCAAAAATCCCAGTTTTTGGTTTCTAGGTTCGCATCTGAATATGCTAGACTCGCATCTAAATTCTCTATTTCACAACTCCTACTTGGCTGCAACTTCTTCAGCTGTCTGGGCACTATGCTCCAAAACCTGTTCAATGCAGCCTCTCTCCTGACTCTAGTTACGAATTTTTGAAGTTTTTGACATCGCTCTGGAAGGCGCTAAAACGGCTTGTTTGCGAGAAAATTTATGCAGATGGAAAATAAGTTTTTGAGTCGCAAACATTCTTTACTTTTATGAATAGCATTTTTTTTCTTTCTGCAAAAAGTGGTGTCGCATACAGAAATCGAACCCAGGACATCATTATAGTTTGAAGCGTTCTTATTTCTAGAACCATAACGAATGCCTTTCAATACAATCATCAAAACATGAATAAATTGTGCCAAACACTTACAAATCGCAGGAAAATTTCTTGCCCGTGGCTAGGAAATGAATTGTTACCAGATAATCGGCCACATCGAAGTATAGTTAGCACCGAATATTCGTGTTCGAATAATTTATTCGAAATATTCGACCATTCGAATATTCGAATAGTCGAATATTTGAGAAAGTCCCTTTATTCGATTATTCGAATAGTCGAATAAATGAGAAAGGCCTATATTCGAATAATTTGTTCATTCGACGATTTCGAAAAATGACTTATTCGAATATTCGTTCATTCGACGAGTTTTAAATAAAGGTTATTCGAATATTCATTCATGCGAGTAGTTTTAAAAGATAGTTATTCGAATATTCGAATATTCGAATATTGCATTCAAATATTCGAATAATATTCGAACATTTATTCGAAATTAGTCGAATATTCGATCAAGTTCGGTTATTCAAGTAATCGTTCATTCGAATTTTGGAATATGCCAATATTCGAATATTCAAATTGATAATAAAATGAAAATCGAAAGTCGAATAATATTCGTTCATTCGAAGAATTTTCGAAAATCAAATATTCGATATTCATTCGTTCGAAAATTTTTCGAAAATCAATTATTCGACATTCATTCGCTCGAAAAAATTTTAAAAACTGATTATTCAATATTCGTTCATTCGGCGAAAATTTTTGTTCGTTACAACTATACATCGAAGGTAAGAAATTGCTCTGTACTCCCAAATTTCTCTTCCTCGAAATTTTATTCCATTTTCTGTTTATAATTCAACGTCTAAGCAAGTTACAGTTCAAATGCCACTATCAGACTAAAATTAATGTCCCCTTTCATCAATTGATAGCCTTTCCATCCACCTTCTCGCGAAAATAGTACAGCGCAGTCAAATCTTCAAAATTTTTCTACTTACCCAAACTGCACAGAATAATTTTGGGGGGTTTTGAACAATCCATTGTCATTATCTCTTAAGCAGATTTTTCTTCCTTTGACATACAATTTTTGGGTAAGGATATAGGCATTTTTTGGGGTGATAACTGACATTCGTTGTAGGTGTGCAGATTACCGCAAAAGCGTGGAAATTAGAGGGTGGGGTAAAGTGGAAGGCGAGGGGGAGGGATGGGGGGGGGAGTCGGTTGGGTAGAGGGCCCCGGATCGCATCAACACGCATGACCCTGACTTCACCTTGCGGTGCCATTTAAGGAAAATTAAGTCTCCTTATCACAAGGAAAGCCATATAACGAACAGAACTTGCAAGAAGGTGAAGACAGCCGGTGTGTTTAGGGGTACAAATGATTGTTCAGTTTAAGTTGTTCATTTTATACTCGTATATAATTCACCTTTCGTCTCGTTTATGCTTGTAGATTAATGGAAAGAGTCAAGAACCACAAAATGGCTCTGCGTCGAATGTTGTCATCCGCCGCTAGACTTTTTGGCTGGAATACAGCAAGAGATCACTTAATTGTTGTGAGCACTTTTAAAATGCAATAAACAATCAAGAAAGTTTACTGACGAGTGGTTAAGTTGTAATGGTTGAGATTTAACATTATGATTGCATCAATGACGAATTACACTACAGGAATCACGAGGGACATGAAACATCAAAAGTCAAGAATCTTCTCGCTTATTGTAATGTAGCTCTCGTAATAGAATTATTTCAACGTTTTTTTGGAGTGGCTTCGGCGCGAAACAATGGCTTTGACTGTGGATTCTGCAACTGATGGTTGTAGATAAAATAATGATCGGTTTTTAAATTTTGATTATTGACGACACTCACCTTTAGTGGCCTACGTTTCGGAGTTCCTTTAGGTGTAGGATTCCTTCTAGTAGCAAAAGTCTAAATCATGTTGTATGGCGTCAGATTAATTTGTTTAAAAAATGTATCATTTTTTTCATCAAAATTCAGCAGCACTTACTAGCATGCCAAAATTCGCATTGAAGGAAGAAAATGAAAATTTTGTGAAACTGAGAAGACATAGCGAGCTAGATTGCTCAAAAATATTCATCGGCACTTGAAATGAAGTAGCTTTCTATCACCTGCGCAATGGCTCTAACTACAAAAAAAGGAGAGGATTTTTCTTTATATGCAATGCTTACTTGGGCTCATAATGTGCCTTTACAGATCTTTCACTGCACTTCCGACCGTTCATATAGTGGCCTGCAGGATCGCGAGAGTTGGGTCAGATTTCACGAGTTGAACGTGTTCTTTCGCAAGCGCGGAATTTCAAATGTAAGACTCAAACAACAAATGGCTTGTTTACAGCGCCCAAACAATCACATGGCTCCGAATTTGGGCTATTTGTATACAATATTACTCCAAACTATGTTATGTAAAAAGTTCCCAAAACTTATGTGTCCTAATATCCGTTCTCGAATTTGTTGGTTTTTAGATCAACTACCAAACCAACTGGGTTGGTTCGGAGCATAAATATCGAGAGTTCACATAAGTTTTGGACCTTTTTGATTTGGACGATTAGAACGGTCAAAAATCTATCATATAGTGAAGAGAGCGGATCAAACCGTTGCCTCTCCCCTTTTTTGAGTCAAAAGTAGTATAATTCTAGGCGTTGATAGATATCGCGCTCCAATCACTTGCGGTGTCTTTTGAAACATGTGGCGAAAAATGCATTGCAGGATTGTTGAGGCTACAGAGATTTGGTTGGCCTAGGAGATTTTCGACATTTCCAGCATCAAAATGGTACTATACCCAATGGCAGAGCCTTTAATCGACTCGAAATGTTTTCTTTTTGCTTTTTTGTTATATTACATACCTCAAAATGCGCTTTTTACGTTTTTTTTGTTGCTATTTTGGTTAAAAAAGGGTTTCCCTACTAATTCTCACGTCGGGAGGAACTTCGTAAATTTTCGCGAAGTCATGGAGGACTTCGTTTCCTAGAAACCTCCAAACCAACGCGTGCCGGGCCCTGGGTAGGGGAACGAAAGCCGCCAGCCTCGGTCGCCTGCGCGGACTGCTGGTTCTGGGACGACATGCAACAACGTTGCGAAAGGACCAATTAGCCGCGAAAGGCGGCTAAAACTGGCGGCTTTCGTTCCCCTACCCAGGCGGGTGCCACACTTATCCGCTTCAGCCGGTTCGTTCGGTTCATAGGTCAAATCACTACACTGTCCAACAGCAAAGGTGGTGAACCGAATGAACCTGTTCAACTGGTTAAGTCTGGCATCTACCTGAGTCGTCGGATGCACATTTGACGTGAGCGGCGCAATGGCCGTACGCACGTCCGACTTTCGCGATCCTGTAGGCTCCTATAGAACTGTTAGCATCGATCTCTCATACTAGTACATTGTTTGGCTCATTGTTATACAGCACCACTATCCGCTGTTACGGAGCGTTGATTCCATATAAGAGTGGGTGGAGGACTACATGTCGCCGGAAGGGGTGGTACCACGTGGATATCTGCGACAAAGCATGCAGCTCCTCACGTCACGTGCATTACAGGTTTGTACCAGCTGTCTGCGCGGATGGAGCCCATCCGCGGGAGATGGTCAAGAGGCGCGATTTCTCTGGCTGTCACCAACTTAAAACTCCAGTTGAGTGCTATGCGAGTTTTCAAAAATTACCGGATAAAGTGCAATAGCTTACTATCCGTCTGAGGTCACCATGTGCTGAGTTTCATGTTTTTTGCTATAAATCGGACTGAAATATTTGCGAATTTGTTGTGAATTGCATTTTCATGAGTTTTTGACCTTCAAAATTGCTCTTTTAAATTTTTTCTAGAGCATCAAGATTGAACAACTCATGCAACTACCTAATATATCTTCTTCCAAATTTCATATAATTTTAGAAAGTTGCAAAACACTTATTATTTGCTATTTGGTGTCCAGCTGGCAACAAAAATCGCGCCTTTTGACATACACCCCCCATCCGCGACACGTAGTCCCCTAATTCCCCATAAGTTACCGCTTTCAGGATTATCTTTCCATAACGCAAGCTGTTTTATGCGATCACTAAACGCGGGGTCACTAAACGCCTCCTAGTTTATGATATGCCTACGAGTAACAGCTTTACACAATGTGTCAATGAAAGAATGAAAAAGAAGACAAATCAGCGAAGAATTTTGAGCGTTATCGTCGTAATACTTACTTAAATCAGAATTGGATGCTTTATCTTTCAAAAAAAAAAATCAAATTCTATCGACAGTCAAATTGTGTTTTGTACGCGGGCACAAAATTACACGATATCTTTTCGACAACATTTCCTCTTGAATTTTCCGTGCGGCCACGGCCTCAGCTCAGGGTCGTGGCAGGCTTGGAAGCGGAGGAGTGGTCTAACAAGGAAAGGATACTTGGTCGAAGTGGCGTTTTTATGTAAAATGCACACTATCTTGCAGAGCATGGAAAAACCACGGACTTGAATGATTTTATTGTAGGGGGGCGTTAAAATTTTCCTCCCAAAACTGCTTTCAGTATCTGCAAAGCACTTTTGGGAGGGAAATTCTGAGAATTTTTTGAGATAAAAATCCAGGAATTTGGCTAAGGTAAAAAACAGGGGTTGAGACCTCTCTCGCTCAAAGGGGGTGATGACTGGCATGAGTTTATTGTACTGACTATTGTCCTAGTTGTACTGTACAACTATTTGTTGCATAAAGCGTCCTGGCAGTAATCATCGCCCCATTTGTGGTTTAGGGACCACGGATTTGAATGATTTTATTGTAGGGGCACGTTAAAATTTTTGCATCAAAAGAACCCCATGACTCCCCTCCCCAAAGCGCTTTACAGATAATGGAAGCAGATTTGAAAACAGCGTTTCATGCTCAATAAGGCAATATACATTTTACATGGAAACGTCACCTCGACCAAGTATTCCTCCCTTGTAAGTACGGCCGACCAGTGACCCTTGGCCCATTACATCGGCCGGCCCGCAGCCTCTGGTTCACTCCATCGGCCGAACCGCGGTTCTTCGTTCAACTCTCCTGCCAGCCCTCGCCCCTTATTTATTGCAACGGCCGACCCGAGACCCTTGCTCTGCGTCTCTGACCAGTGACGACGTGCGAGTGAACACATTAATCATGTTCTTGAAACGACTCTCAGAAGTGATTTCCATTCAACAAGATTGTACAGTTAGGTTCTTCAATAGGGTTGTCTTCATGGATGGAAGCGCGCTACCGCAGCAGCACCGGTATCCATTAGTGGCGAGCTTATGAATAGTATGCAAAGTAGCTAAAGATTCTGCATTGGGGTAGAGTTTCGTACGCATGGTAATCTTGCGCTCTTACTACATGAAGGAAGTATGATATATAGTACTGTATAATACAAGTAACTGAAAGTAGCGGTTTTAAATGTCGCTGAGTAGGAAAAGTAGTGAAATGTTTTGTGCACTTGAACAAGAGAGCAGCCGAGTGTTTAGGCATATCTGGACGGAATCTCGTGGAGTTAGCTGTATAGATGTCTATTAGGAAGGATTTCATTCTGTAAGGAACAAGGGTTATATCTCCTTAAGGTCTGAGGAAATATTGATTGGAAATTCCAGATATTATATTCATTCAGTAGCACACATATCGACGCTATGAAAAAAGTAAGACAGTCATTTGTAAATCATTGCATTCTTGGTCATTCTCAGATAATCGCAGGGGGCAGGCGGCCATGCGATTTATGGGCGGGCGGGCACCGGAAAAATAGTTCGCTGATTTCTTGCGGTCCGCTTGCAGATGTTTGAAAGAATTTTAGCGAAATTTTAGACGAATGCTTGAAGAACAATCGCGGTTTTCTTATAGATTAGCTGCGGCGCAGTGGCCGCATTCTCGCTGACTTTCCGCGAGAATATGCAAAATTTTTGAGGGCCGCACGGTCCTTCCCTTTGTGGAGGACCGCGCAGCGCCCAGGTACTTTCCACTGAGAGAAAGTACCTCAAACTTGAGTAATCGAACCATTGATGACCTCTGCAGCATAGAGTGTCACATTTGCTCGACATACGCCCAAAACTGCTCAAAAAGAGTCCGAGCGCCTGCTGAAAGTTCGGCCAGCGTTTGCAAGCGATTATTTGACGAGCGCCTGCAGAAAATTCTGTGTTACTGCCCGCTGTCAGAACATTAGACAGTAAAGGAAGTACCGCTCGCTGAAGGTTTTGCCGCGCCCCAAAATCTGCTGACCGCTTGCAGAAAAGCGCGAGTTTGAGGACCGCCTGCCCCCGGCGATGTATACAGTAGAACAACGCGATTAGAATTCCATCATTTTTTGCGCATCCGTTCGATTCTATGTTTATGATTTTGATTATTTGTAGCCTTCACTATAACATGGTTTGCAAGTTGTTTATGCATGTATATTTTGGACAGAAGATAAAGGAGTTATTATAAACGAATTGTGTTTGCTCTATTGTCTTCATGAGCTAAACGAAGCAGTCAAGGGAACGATACTCAATGTCCGCGGCTGTTCGAGACGTGATTCATACTATTACACTCGCTTTCGAACGCTGATTCCGAATCTGCTTTCCGTTTCTGCTAATCGTTTCTCTGAAAGAAGTTATAAGAGAATTTCGAGCCAAGTTTGGCTGCTCAAGGGAAATATGGTCATTGGAACGGCATCTACAGCGGCCACCTTCTGTGGCCGTATTCATCATTGATACCTTGAGGTAAATCCTACCTGCAGTAGTTTTATCACTTATCAGCAAATACCCGTCTTCACAAAAGTACCTTGAGCTAAATTCTCAAGGTAAATTTTACCTTGAGAATTTACCTCAAGGTGTTTAGCATTGAATGGAAAGTACCTTGTGGTAATTCTCACCTCAAGGTACTGTTATCACTTAAAATCCGTATTCATCAAACGGACTGCATTTACCTTGAGGTAAATTCTCAATGCAACTTTTAACCCTAGCTGGAGGCA